GCATGTAACGAAGCACAGCACATGGCAAAAACAGTGACTTGATGTCACATGAATAGTTTTCAGTTTCTGATTCATAATGTAATACCATAAGTTGTTGTGATTAAATTCCACGACTGTGTGCAGACAGATCCTACAACTTTACATTCCTCACGATGCTGAGACAAAAGTCAGAAACATCTTAACTGGGCTACAGAGGACAAACAGCTGGACTGTTGCTGACTGGTCCAAAGTTTTAATTTCTTTTGGAAATCAAGGTCCCAGAGTTTGGAGGAAGAGTGGAGAAGCAAAGAATCAATGTTGCTTAAAGTGGGATGGTTTGGGTTGCCATGTCTGCTCCTGGTGTCGGTCTATGGGGTTTACTGAAGTCCAGTCAGCTCAACCATCTACCAGATCATTTTAAAGAACTTCATGCTTCCTTCTGACGACAAACTTTACAGAGATGATGATTTCATTTCCCATCAGGCCTTGACATTTGCCTACTCTGCTAAAAATACCAACAACAAAAAAAAAGGTTCAACGACCATCGTTTTCCTGCTCTTGATTGGCCAACAAACCTTTAAACTGTAGATGGAAACAAAATCATTTTACAAATGCAACATACAAGAACAGTTGACCACAGAAAACCTAGGAGATGTTTACCAGAGGAAGCAAATCTCGTTACTCCGCCTGACTCAAATAAACGTCCTCTACATCAGTGGTCCCCAACCTTTTTTATTACCACCGACCGGTCAAGACTTGGACCGGTCCGCAGCCTGTGGTTTTTCTCGGTAGAGACAAAAACCACTGACTTTTGCCCCAATAACTTATAATAAATGAAATTAAACGACTCCACTTAAATTACCAGCACTTCACCTGCTGGGGTCTGAACGCACAGCTTCACAAATTCCTCCTGGTTCGCATCTGCAGAGATCTGCGCTTGTTCATCGGGCAGTTGGATCTGTCTGATCCAAACCGATCCATTAAACTTTTCTATTTTTACCCTGTGCATGCGAGGATTTTCCGTGATTTCACTTCCCCGAAACAGACAGATGTTATGTCTGCCGCACTTCTGAGCGCCGCTCTCCTTCTGGGTGCGGGAGAGACATGTCTTCAGCTCCATTAGTTAAAGCCACAGGGTGAGTTAAGTTTAATTCTTTGCAGTGTTGGTTGTGCAGCCGCAGCGAACTGCGCATGTTACGATCTAATTAACTTGTTCACCTTTATTTATTTTCTCAAGATAAACTGCCGGCTCCTCTGTTTAGACTATAAATGGGTTCAACATTGCATTCTCTTTAGTTTTCTCTGTTCTGTATGTAATGGAGACTGAAATTAAACGCGCCAT